TGCAGCATATATGCTTATAATCATTAGAATAATTATTCGACTGATCACAATATTCTATATTTATGATTATTTCCTATATTACCTTTATTTATAATTTTAATACTAATATTACTGTTGATATTAAAGATATATTAAAACTAGCTCCTTCTTCCTGCCCAAATAATGTCAAAAAATATTTGTCATGAGAGCAAATGGCTTTGTTCAACCTTTCAGTGAAAGTGTACGTCAAAGGAGGTAATTGGCGTATCCATTGAATCAGATATAAATCATATATACATTTTTAATTTTGTTTCCGAAATCTGAAACAACTGATATAACCATTCAAATAGGGCAAACAAAATGTTATCTGCTACTTCAAAAGTAGATAACTACTACTTTACTACTGCAATAGCAATCATTTTGAGTTTATTAACTTGCATTTTGGTCAGCAAGTGATGCACATTTTTTATTACATTTTACAAAATAAAAGTGTTGTTATAAAACCAATAATTATGATGCGATATCTGCTACACTAGCAAAGGTCTGTGCTGGACGGCGCCAGAGAGACTCACAAACCAAACTCCGCAAACCACATTCTCAGGCTAAAGCGAACAATGCCTATTTAGGGTTTCGTCAGTGGACAAGAAACGTCACAGCTCCCACCCCTAAAGATGTATGGGCAAGGTTGGGGTATTGGTGGTGGAAGGGTGACACGCTGATGGAGTAGGAGTCAGTGAGAGTAGTAATAGTATTCGAAGTGGTTGCAACTTATGTTGTTGTGTCCGAGGGAATATTCTTGGTGGTAATGGTTAGCAATGATAGTATTGTGTAGTATTCTGGGAGTTGAACCTGCTCTGGTGTATGAGAGAGAGAGGGGAGAGAGAGAGAGAGAAGGAGGGAGAGAGAGAAAGAGAGAGAGAGAGAGAGAGAGAGAGAGAGAGAGAGAGAGAGAGAGAGAGAGAGAGAGAGAGAGAGAGAGAGAGAGAGAGAGAGAGAGAGAGAGAGAGAGAGAGAGAGAGAGAGAGAGAGAGAGAGAGAGAGAGAGAGAGAGAGAAAGTGAAGTGAAGGGAAAAGAGAGTGAGACAAAGAGAGACACAATACAACAAACGGGCATACAAGTTGAGAACGAAAAACTAACGTAGTAGAACTGATATAATATTGGAGCAAGGAGACATACACATTACACAACGTATTATGGTAACAGTGAAATTAGCAATACAGTCAAAAAGTCTGTATTTTCATTTATATCAGAATGCTGAATAATATCACATAAATAAGCCTACACACACACAACCACAGACACAAACACACAAAGAGATACGGACAAATTATAGGATGAAGGAGAGGCTGAAGGCATTGGATCTCACAACACAGCAGGATTGAATGAACAGAGAAGGCACGATAACAACTTGCACAATTCTAAGGAGGATCGACGAAGAAGCAATGTTCAAACTGTTGACACAGGAGACAAATACTCAAACCAAAGACATACATAGGTCACAGTGATATCAGAAAGAACACTAACGCAAGTAACATAAATAAATAGAAAAGGGTTAGAAATGGAAGTAGTTGAAGCTAATTCTATGCAGTTTAGAAAAACATGTGATAAACACGAGGTAAGAAATTCAGTGTATATATATGTGAGTGAGGATGTTGCGTGGTCCGTGAGCGATTTCCGGTCTGGCCAGCTCAGTTGTTATAATTCTGATGAAGCGAGAGGCTTCAATACATGACACATGACCGTAGGTGGTAAGTGAATGTGACTAAGTCTGTCCTCAGGACACGTCAGTTAAAGGGACGGTTAAGCAAGTGAGACACTTTTGGGGGAAGTTGACTGCAATTGCACTTCTTGAGTGTGTGTATGTGTGTCTGTGTGTGTGGGAGGGAGATTTTTTGCATTTCAGAAGGGGAGACAAGCGGCCCAAAAACTTAATTTTCCCCCTTAATCTTGATTTTATCCGAAAGGAAATTAATACAAAAATTTTAATCTACACGGTCTGGCCATGAATGTCTTTTGGTGTAGGAACGACAGAAGAAATCAGCACTCGGTGGATACGGGCCAAAACTTTTGTTGGGGATAGTTGCCAGGCCGTGAATTCTATTCTGAGTTTCGGACCTCTTCTGTCTTCGACAATAAAGTAAGAGACAGACAAAAATAGTTTTGCAAGTAAACGATAAAGTTTTATCTGATGCTAGGAGTTTCTTCGAGTGTTTCATCTCATGAAATCAGTGCTAGTGTTGTGGAAAGAGGTTTGAGGGACCGTAAAAACTACGTGATAGGTAAAATTCGTCCTTCAACATTATTTTCACTTCCCCCAGCTGTAAGCTGCGTTCGGAGGTTACGAATGGTTCCGTCTTCAGCTTTATCAACACTAACATTCACTGAAGCTGCATACGAGACGATAGAATAGCTATAATGTATCAAACTTAAGCTCACAACTGAAATTTCTAAAGTGATGCAAGTATTTCAACAAAGCAGATCTGGGTGTTTCCAGAACAGACACATTGATGGATGATGTTTCGACCGAGAATCACATTGTAACAGCCTTCGGGGCTGGCCAGGCAGAAACGTCAATATTTTCGGCTTTAGCGCTATTTCTTCTCTATTTAACACAGCACTGTTTACAACATGGACATAGAGGAAACAATGTCAGTTGCTACTTAACGTCTCGTTGATGACTGATTGACCAACATAGAGAAAATAGCAATATCTATATATGACAATTCAATTATTTTTTACTGACAATCGCGTCTTTTGTATGGCGATGTGACTTGTGTGAGTACGATATTGTAGGTGTACACTCACCAAACTGATTTTGCGGGGGATTGATTAATGTGTGTGTATGTTTGAGTGAGTTAGCTTGTTGAAGCTATCTCACGTAGTTGGTTCACTTGATCTTAACGCAAGTGAACACACATACACACACACACACACACACACACACACACACACACACACACACACACACACACACACACACACACACACACACACACACACACACACACACACACACACACACACACATCAAACATATATGTGTGCATGTCTGTGTGCGTGCGTGCGGGTGTGTGTGTCAGAACGTGGGAAGAGAACATATTTCCCTTCAGGTGGTTAACATCTGTGTAATTATCCGAAAACCGTCCTCCTCGCTACATACAGACTGTGTACCTGTGCCTGTCCCGAGTGTCTATTGGTGTCATTGACGAAATACAGATGAAAATGAGGTGGCTATAATTATTCTAACTTGTATTATATACCACTCGGTCATATCCTCGAAAACGTGTGTATGAATACACGTGAATGTATGTGTGTATATGTGTGTATATGTGTGTGTGTGTGTGTGTGTGTGTGTGTGTGTGTGTGTGTGTGTGTGTGTGTGTGTGTGTGTGTGTGTGTGTGTGTGTGTGTGTGTGTGTGTGTGTGTGTGTGTGAACGTCCGAAATAAAGACGTCGTACGCGGTAAGGCCAATGGAACACTCACTTACGGCTAATCACTGTAATTTTAAGTCGTGGCCAAGCGCTCACTCGCTCCTTCAGGTCCAGCCGAGGAACAGCTTTACCGCCTCCCCCTATCACCCCCACCCACCTCCCGGGGTACCTTATCGCAGTGACGTGACTATATTTCTCTTATTTAGTATCTCTTCCTCTTATTTTATCTCCTCATGTGCGTTTCCTTCACCCCCCCTTATATCTCCCTACAAGCATCCCTCCCATCCCCCCTCTCATCTTCCTCCCCTTCTGATTTATGAGTACTGACGCCAAGCCTCGTATTTTACGCCTACACCTCACCGCCTCTCGCTAAGAAACATCAACACTGACAAACTCTCCTTTTCTGACATAGACTTAGGAAACTTCAGTTACCACAATTATCACCAATATATATATATATATATTTCTATTTCATATTTGCCGATATTTGCACGTTATAATTTGATATGTTGTTGACACTGTCACATCGTCTGCCTCAATTGCTTATTTGTTAACTCTATTGTATTTTCCGCTTTCAAACTGATGACTTTTTCTAAACACCTGGTAATTTGTTAATGCATTGACAGTTCTTGTTTTATTCCTGATCTCACTTGTCTGTTCATTTGTCTGTGTGAATGTGTATCCACCAATCGTTATTTGCTAACTATTAAATGCACTTGTTACGTTAACACTTTCTTTCTGATCTAATATATCACTTTCGTACACTTGTCGCACTGATTGTCATGTACACACGAAATTACACCATCAATTTATATATATATATATACATTATGACAATAAACATTCCACTTCATGACCAACAAATCTTTCAAAAAACTTCTTCAATTCGTCTACATATTTTTAATAGATTTCATTTCACTTCATTTTCTGGTTCACATTTTCTCATCACTGGAGGACATTAAGGGAGATGAAAGGCTTACTTAGTGGGTGATATTAATGGTAATTCTTCTTGAGTCTTTTAAAGTTTGTGTATATTTTTTAGGACACGAAGACTACAAGATTTATTGTTTCATTCTACTATGCTAATTGTTTTCTTTCATTTTTTCCCCTCGAAAATGGGATACTAAATTAAACCTGACTTTCCTCTTTTCCAAAACCTAATTTGGTCTTACTCCTTTGCGGAAGATTGAACGCAGTAGGGGATGGCGCGACCCCCACGGCTAAATGTAGGTTAAACTAACTTTTTTTTCACGCGAGAACCTTACCATGATTATCTCATTGTATTACTGAAGATAGACACGTTAGATAATTATGCAAATGAGAGCACCAAGGGTGGTGGTGGGAGCTGCTGGTATCCGGAGGGTTTCTGATGGAATGATATTACACGCTGACGGAACTTGATTTTTTTTTAATGTGTATATGTAGAGGCTAGGAATGTGAGGAGAAATTAGGAAAGAACGTATAGAAAAATGGTGTTTTGAGAGAGGATGAGTGGTGCGGGCGTGTGGCTGGGCTTGGCACTCTGCGGGCAGCAGCAGCAGCATTAGCAGCAGGATCACCTGGATGGCACCTGCCCTACAGGTGCCAGTCAGGCCCGCTTAGCCGCACCACCACGCCCGCGCCGCCCACACCCTGCCGACGTGGGCGCCTCGCACGTACCTGCTATGGCCATCCAGGGGTAGAAGGTTGTGTTGGAGGGTGGCTGGTTCATCTGGTTGTTGGTCTGCTGCTGAGCCTGCTGCTGGGGCTGCTGGTGAGGCTGGGACACGGGCGTCATACCACACGTGTTCCACGCTCCTACGTGTGAGGTTCGGTCCCGTGGGGATGTGCTGGGGTCCGGCGGGTATCCTCGTGCCACCACGGGGTCCGGCGTGCAGGCAGGCCGCACCGCAGGACCCCAGCCTCCCGACATGTCTTTGCTGATGCCATAACCATTCTGATCCTTGGCACAGTCTACCTTGAAGGGGTTGGGTGTCATGTGGTCCTGGGGGGCGGCGTACAGCTTGCAGGAGGCCGCCGAAGCATCGTAGCCGTCCTGACGTGGTCCTGGCTGCCCATAGGGACTCACGCTGATGCCCAAGGGAAAGCGGTATGCCTGGTCCCCGCCCGAGCCGCCGCCGTAAAAACCACCCTGTTCGAAGTATGAGTTCATGGTTGTGGTTATGAAGGTAAGACACTACAAGCACCTACTGACACACTCACTCCACCAACACCAAGAACCAACTGAAGGTCCAGTAGCACACCGTGATCACCACCAACACACCAAAACGATTTTCAAATTGTAAATTTTACCCGCGCTACCACACCATGTGCTGGATTAAATTTGCTCATAGCAGTCGCTATGTGTAAACATATGAAGGACGGCCCGGAAAGGCAGAAGCAGCCAATGAGGATAGGTTGCGTCACACGGCCGCAGGACGACTGTGACTGAGACGGGGAGTCCGCGGGAAGAACTAGCTCCGTAACAGTGACGTCACGGCCGGCCGACTCGCTCGCACACACACACACGCGCGATTCTCGGTGGTGGCTGGCTGGCTGGCGCACACTGGCCGAATGGTGAGGGCGAGCTCTCAGGTCTCCTAGCCGCCACGCAACGGCGGCGGCTAGGAGCGGCGCACGTGGGGGCGGTCCCTGGCAGCCCCGGGGGCGTGACGCTAGCAGGCCGCGCCCCCCGGCCCTCCTCCCCCCCCCTTCCTCCTGGCCCTCCTCCTCCACCTGCTGCTGCTGCTGCATGACGCCCCCAACACCACTCCCCGCATGACGCCGCCCCGCCCCGCCCCGCCCTGCACTCCCACGCCGGTCCTACTCCCCTCCCCCCACTCCTGTCCTCCCCAACTACACTGTAAACTAGGCCTATGCTGTCACTCCAAACTCCACCGCGAATACTAGAGACCTACTGATGCACTTGCTCCCCTGTCACGCCTATCCTGCTACCATTGTCTACTCTGGTACTCTGCCTAATCTACTCCAAGTCGTACTCTATAACCAGGCCTATCTTCTAATAGAAGTACTCTATTTTTTTTTTTATTTAATTCTGTTCTCAAGTCAAATTATCAGGACTTCTCAACTACCTTCTTGCTCAACAACCACGAGTGCCAAGCGATCAGGTCTAATGAGGCACTGTCAGATCTACTCAGCTACTTGGAGTGCCTCACTGCCAGGTTAACTCAGCCACTAGGAGTGCCTCACTGCCAGGTTAACTCAGCCACTAGGAGTGCCTCCCTGCCAGGTTAACTCAGCCAATAGGAGTGCCTCACTGCCAGGTTAACTCAGTCACTTAGAAGTGCCTCACTGCCAGGTTAACTAAGTCACTTAGAAGTGCCTCACTGCCAGGTTAACTCAGCCAATAGGAGTGCCTCACTGCCAGGTTAACTCAGCCAATAGGAGTGCCTCACTGCCAGGTTAACTCAGCCAATAGGAGTGCCTCACTGCCAGGTTTACTCAGTCACTTGGGAGTGCCTCACTGCCAGGTTAACTCAGCCATTAGGGAGTGCCTCACTGCCAGGTTAACTCAGCCAACAGGGAGTGCCTCACTACCAGGTTTACTCAGTCACTAGGGAATGCCTTACTACCAGGTCTACTCACACTATAGTCCTCCTGACACAGTTGACAAGCCTGTACACTAGGGTGACACAGCTTCACCAGCAACATAGCTGGCCCTCAAGGTCCCTCCCACTCCACTGGGCTGCAATAGTCCCATTGCACCACACCGGCCTGACCGAGATTCCTGACGTACTTCTGCTCGATTCCAGCCCCATCCTTGCTCCATTCCAGACTCGCTCTTGTAACATTCCAGAGTCGCTCTTGCACCATTCAAGAGTCGCTCTTGCACCATTCAAGAGTCGCTCTAGCCCTGTTCCAGAACTACTCTTCCCACACCTTTATCTTTGGCGAGTGCGCACACGCACGCACACACGCACGCACACACGCACACAGAGTCAAAGCTCAACCCCCGCAAGCACAATTAGGTGAGTACGCACTCACACACACACACACACACACACACACACACACACACACACACACACACACACACACACACACACACACACACACACACACACACACACGCACTCACACACACACATACACACAGGGCCTCGAGGCTGAGTGACCCGGGCTCTGGATTCGTCGTCTTAAGGGCCCGAGTTCGATTCCCGGCCGAAATTGAAACAAATGTGCAGAATTTCTTTCACTCTGATGAGCCTGTTCACTATGCAGTAAATAGGTACCTGGGAGTTAGACAGCTGCTACTGGCTGCTTTCTGGGGATGTGTGTGTGTGGGGGTGTATTGGAGAAATATATGAAGTAGACATAATAGAGGAAAAATTGATTGGTAAGAAAGGCCGGGTCCAAGAGCTAATAGTTCGATCCTGCAGGCACTCGTGGTAACTACACACACACACACACACACACACATACCTGGTACAACTTTGAGAGCGCGAGTGACTGTATTTACAATTATTTGTATTTAGAAATTGTAAGGTCCTGTAATGGTATATAAAGGCCCCCGCGCGCGCGCAGTTTTACGAGCCTACGCTATACACACTCCACGTTCTACTGACCGCGCACAAATCAAACAAAATCTGCTTTGCGACTACTCTCGACTCGCTCGTTGCCCAATCGTAGTCGTTGCCTGATCACCATACATCTTCATCTACCAGCGTAGCTATAACAGCAGCATCACATCTAATAATTATTGTCTAGCGAGGATCATATTTACATGTCGGGGACTTCCTCTCTTAGAATTCCTTCAGCGATCTGCTCCTAAATCGTCTCTACGTCAGAGTTTACTTGTGCCCCGTGTCCTCTGCTTCGCCTTCCTCCCACGGCTTTCCAATTTACTAGTTACATGAGGCCATACTGGCGTTATTCTCTCTCTCTCTCTCTCTCTCTCTCTCTCTCTCTCTCTCTCTCTCTCTCTCTCTCTCTCTCTCTCTCTCTCTCTCTCTCTCTCTCTCTCTCTCTCTCTCTCTCTCTCTCTCTCTCTCTCTCTCTCTCTCTCTCTCTCTCTCTCTCTCTCTTTCAGTTATTTAACACCTGTCGCCATCTCTTCCCGAAATTCTTTTACTCCCTGGTTTCTTCAGGGTACTAGGGTTTCATACCTCCCCTTTACATGCAAAACTCTTCACTCTCGCCTCCCCTCCCGGACATTCACCTCGCATATCCACAACTTCGGACATCCATTTTCCTTGTCCTTTTTTTACCTGCAGCCCTTGTCTACGTACTGCGTGTCCGGTCGGAGGTACTGGTCTATATAATTTGTTTTTCGACGAATCTTGATTTGCTTGTGTGAGATTTCCTCTCTTAGTAGTCGCTTGTCTTCTTATATTTCACATCTACTTATATTCAATCATTAATGTTGTTAAACATTCATTCATTTCTATTTGGTTCCTTGTCTGACTGCCTGCTTGCCTGCCTGCCTGCCTGCCTGCCTGTCTGCCTGTCTGCCTGCCTGCCTGCCTGCCTGCCTGAATGCCTGCCTGCCTGCTAGCTTACTTGCTGGCCAGTCTGCCTGCTTGTCTGCCTGCCTGCCTGCTACCTTTATATCTTCCTTCTTGCCTTAATCACATTTAGATGAGTACAATTCCCCACTGTGTGTAAAATGTTCAAGTGGCAAACCAGATTTATTCAGGATCCAATATACTAGAGTATGTGCAGCACGCCATCACCTATCATTGATCACACAGAGTATATCGCATACTCACCCCGGATACAATGCTACAGACATGCAATCTACACACATAGAATTTACGTACGCCAGTGAACACTTGAATATATATATATATTTATATATATATATATATATATATATATATATATATATATATATATATATATATATATATATATTATATATATATATATATTAGACATATGTCGTACCTAGTAGCCAGAACTCACTTCTCAGCCTACTATTCAAGGCCCGATTTGCCTAATAAGCCAAGTTTTCCTGAATTAATATATTTACTCTAATTTTTTTTCTTATAGAAATGATAAAGCAGCCCTTTTCTCTATGTATGAGGTCAATTTTTTTTATTGGAGTTAAAATTAACGTAGATATATGCCGAACCTAACCAACCCTACCTAACCTAACCTAACCTATATTTATAGGTAGGTTAGGTTAGGTAGCCAAAAAAGCTAGTTTAGGTTAGGTTAGGTAGGTTAGGTAGACGAAAAACATTAATTCATGAAAACTTGGCTTATTAGGCAAATCGGGCCTTGAATAGTAGGCTGAGAAGTGCGTTCTGGCTATTAGGTACGACATATATATTATATATATATATATATATATATATATATATATATATATATATATATATATATATATATATATATATAGACAGTATGTAAAGGGAAAGAGCACATCTAAGTGAGAACACACACACACACACACACACACACACCACACACACACACACACACACACACACACACACACACACACACACACACACACACACACACACACACACACACACACACACACACACACACACACACACACACACAACACTGTTTTGCAGAACCCCAAGCCAAGAGACCCACCCACTCACAGCATACCAGTTCTTCCCTCCACCCACCCAGCCAGACCTACCAGGTTTCTACACTTACACTCCCCTCTCTTTTTCCTCTCACTCTCCCCTCCTCTCCCTTTCCTCCCTCCTTCCTTCACCCCTTCCTTCTCTCCCCTTCCTAAAGCCACACACCTGGGAGCAGCCTTGTGTGTGCGTCCGTGCCATCACAGAGATATATTCATATAAATATATATAAAAGCAGGCTATTGCCGCGTCATCGTTAAGAGGGTTTTCTGTGCCGTGTGTCTATACTGTCTCCTCCCGCGTGTTCACTCCTTCTCTTCTTATTTTCTCCTACCCTTCCTATCTCATTTTTCATTTACTTTTATTCTTTTGTCCTCTCAATTCCACTCATTTATTCTTCTTTATTTAATTTCCTTCGCATGTTCTCTCTCTCTCTCTCCTTCACTTTCCTTCTCCTCTGCTGTTCCTTTCCTCCTCCTCCTCCTGCTAGTCTCCTGTTCTTCTTATTTCCTCTTCCCCTTTCCTTTCTCATCCTTTCTTTTCCCCTCTCCACGTCTCCACCTCTCCTCAAGTTCAGATGGCTGGCCGCCCCTCAGCTCTACTTTACTAGGTTCTTTAACTTTGCTGCTCCTTCGCCTTAATTTAGTTAACTATACCTAAACTTTACCACACTTGGTCTTTGAGTTCACAGTGTTTTTTGTTCAACTTTATTTCAGTTGATTGTTTATGCTCACTGCGTCCCTGAACTTGACTTCAATTTGCTTCTTTCAACTCTTTTAATCTCTTTATTCTGTACTCGATTTGTTGTCTGTTCTTTACTTTTTTTAGTCTTTGCTCTCTTATTAGCAATGCCTGCGTTCTGTGTTACCTTCCGGGGCTAAGACACTGCCTGTCAAATTTACTTTGAATTTACTTTGACATAATATCTCTTTGCCCTGTCACGGGGCGGTGACCCCTTTTGGGGAGTTTGCGTCACTGCAATCTTATGGCCTAAATTTAATCACATCAGCA